AGTCATTGCAAATGGCAAGATTTCATTCTTTTTTATGGCTGAGTAATATTCCATTGCATACATATACCACATCTTTATCCATTCATCAGTCAGTGGACACTTGGACTGTTTCCATACTTTGGCTGTGTAGATAATGTTTCCATAAATGTCAGGGTGCATGTATCCCTTTGAGTGAATATTTTTGTTTTCTTTGGGTAAATATCTAGTAGTGCAATTGCTGGATCATAGGGTAATTTTATTTTTAACTTTTAGAGGAACCTTCATACCCACTTGGTTTGGATGTATGATTATCTTATATATTGCTAGATTCAATTTACTGTAGTTTATTTAAGATTTGTACATCAAAATGATCCTTAAGAGATGGTGTGTAATTTTTTTTTAATTTCTATCTTCTTATTCTTGATTAGGCTTGTTAAGATTTTATACGTTTTAATAATATTTCAAATAACCAAATTTTGTCTTCATGTGTGTGTAGTTTATTGTATATATATATATTTTATTTAATTCTGCTCTAATCTTTATATTTTTTCTTCTGTTTCCTTTGGATTTGTTTTGTTTGTTTTTTTCTAGATATTTGAGATGGAATCTCAGATCACTGATTTTTAATCTTTTGAATTTTCTTTTGAATGTACTTAGTTGTATTAGGCAAATTTTGAATGCCAAATTTTCAGTTTTATTTTGTTTCCAGGATTTTGTAATTTCCACTTTTATTTCATTGTTGACCAATAGATTACTTAGGCATATATTCTTTAATTTTTGAACTTGGGATTTCTAAGTTATCTTTTTGTTATTTATTTCTAGTTTAATATCACTGTGGTGAGGGAACATGCTCTGAATTATTTCAGTACTTTTAAGTGTGTTGAGATTTAGTATATGACCCAGCTTATGATCAATTTTGGTAAATATACATTTGAAAAGAAAAAAATATTTTGTCATTTTGAGGTACTGTGTTTCATCTTTGTTAGTTAAGTCAAATATATTTAGATTGTCTAAATTTTAAATATTTTTTTTGTCTGCTTACTCTATCAGTAACTAACTGCTAACACTACTGAGAGTGGTGTTTTAATGTTTCCCACTATGATCTATAACTCCTTCTTCTTTTGTCAGTATTTTTTATTAGATGTATATCGAGTCTGATTTATATCATTCCAGTGTATTGACCTCTTTATCATCATTATGATACGCACTCTGTATCTCTATTCTCTTCTTGTCTTCAAGTCTACTTTATGTAACATTAGATAGCTTCACCAGCTTTTATTTGGCTAATGTGGTTTTAGAACCTATCTTTGCCCATCTTTTTCTTTATTTTTTACTGTTTCTCTTGCAGGTAGCTTATAGTTTTGTGCCTTTTTACCCTGTTAGATAATCTTAAACTTCAAAATGTGAATCTACTCCATTTACCTTTAATGCAATTACAGATGCATTTGTTTTAGATCTACCACTTATACCATCTTGTTAATTTTTTGGTGTTTTTCTCTCCATTTATTTTACTTATGTTTTCTTATTCTTTTTGGACAAATGAAATATTTTTATTATGTGACTTTTAATCTACTAAAGTTTTGATCATATACTAGTTCATTATATTAGTCTCTATCTTAAGAAATTTAAATATGCATTATTGATTTACTATAATCCAAAATAATTATCTTTACCTTTCTCTCAATATTGCTAGAACATTTACATTCTTTAATTTTATTTATTTTTTTCTCAACTTTGTTATTATTATCATGCACTTTAATTTAAATACATTACAAACTTCATAAGATATTACTATTTTTGCTTGTTTAGTTAAAATTCATTAATAATCACCCACAGGGGCGCTTGGGTGGCGCAGTCGGTTAAACCTCCGACTTCAGCCAGGTCACCATCTCGCGGTCCGGGAGTTCGAGCCCCGCGTCAGGCTCTGGGCTGATGGCTCAGAGCCTGGAGCCTGTTTCCGATTCTGTGTCTCCCTCTCTCTCTGCCCCTCCCCCGTTCATGCTCTGTCTCTCTCTGTCCCAAAAATAAATAAACGTTGAAAAAAAATTTTTTTTAAAAATAAGTATTTTTATTTCTAACTGCATTTATTGAAATTCCCAGAATAGTAGTAAAAGTCAATAATGTACACATTCTTATCTTTTTCCTGACATTACCAGGACTTCCTTTCTATTTTACACTTAAATATAACATTTAACATTAATATGTGATTTTTTTTTCTTAATAAAGCTTCATTGTGACTCCATTATTTTTCTAAAAATATTTTCCCTTTTATTAATCAAGAATAATTAGTGATATCTATCAGTAATGTCCTTATACCTAATCACCTAATCACCTAATCACCTAATATGGTGATTATACTTTTCTTTTTTGACCAATTACTGTGTTAGATGTTATTAAACTTTCCAAAATTTTAAACGGAATTACAAAAGCTCCCTTTTTTTCCTACATAAGTTTGAGGAACCCACCAAATACTTTTTAAAAAGTAACTCTTTACTAGATTCTTTTACCCTACCTGCCCATCCTTGCCCTCCACACATAAGAAGTAGTGATCTCTCTCTCTCTCTGTCTCTTTCTTTTTTGAGTACGTGGCTGGAAGGTGTTATAGAAGATATTGTGCCTGGAAAGCTTGCATGATCTGGGTGTTTTTTATTTTTATATGCAAAATTTTAAATTCTGGCTTTGGATCAATAAAAATTGTTTATTTTATTTAATTAAGATGAAAATGGGTTGTCCTAAGGAATTACAAAGATTTCCTTAAATATTCAAACCACTAACAAATATATAAACTTACATTTGAATTATTTATTTTGAAGAGAGATAAAGGATGGGGACATTTTAACCCACTGTCATCAAATATTGACCGTTTTTGTATTTTTCTTTTGTATGTATATCACATAGAAACTATAATTTGAACTGAGGAAAGTAGAAGATTTGGTTTTTCATTTTATTGTGCCATTAAGAAACAACTTCAGGTTTGCATTTCTATAATTGACTCTTTATTCCTAATTAATTTTAAGAAGTGTCTTACAATTGCTCTATTATTTTTCTGTTCCATATGTAGGATTTTACAGTTCTAATTACATATTATATTAAAGTCAGCATGTCTCACCTTTTAGGAATTTTAGTGTATTTTACCTGAATGAAATTTTGAGGTTTTTGTCGTGGAATAAGTTTGTATTGGAACTAGTTTGTAGTGGAATAAGTAAGGGCTTTTAATTTTTTCATGAACATATTATAATGTTAGCTTTACAACTTCATAGTTATATGATCTTTGGCCAAAAGAGTTCTTTCCTAAAATAATATTACTTGGGATTACTTTGAAGATTCAATGAAACCTTAATCACTTATAGAGTGCTTACTTTATGGCAACCACAATCTAAGTGTTTTGTTATGAGATAGCATTTAATTTTTATAACAACTCTATGCTATATATAACAACTCTATGCTAGTGTTAATTATAATCCTTTTTTTTAGATATGAAGAAATTTAGACTGAGGATTTAAGCAACTACCCAAATTTAAATGGACAGCAAATGGCAGAACCAGAATATGAACCCATTTTGGCTTCAGAATTTAGGCACATACCATTATTCTCCTCCATATATACGAGATATCTGATTTGGTTCTTGACACCCATTAGGCATGTAAATACTTATTGTCCTTCTGCTTAGCATAAGTCTCCAAAGATTTTAAATATACTAAAAGCACTATTTCATAATAAGTTGACTGCTCTGATAATTATACCATCAATTTAGCTGAAAGAATAAGAGAAATATTTCAAACTAGTATGGTGTCAAATAACAAATTTTCCAATTCTTCCTGAATATAAATTTGTCTGAGCACTGTGGTATTTTCTTGAGTCCTAATTTCTCATATTTAGAGGCATCGTTACCATACCATGTCTTCTTATGAATTTAAAGTAGGAAGTTTGCTGATAGTATAGTCACCTGACATTCATATGTCAGAAGACTTTTGATGAGGTATGAATTGCAAGGTGTGGAAATGGCTTATCCAAGGGAGTTTAATGTGTGAATGCCTATGCTGAGAGCACATGGCATGAAATTTGAAAGGAAGAGAGATAAATGCTTTCTATTGTTTAAGTAGTACTACTTTCCCAAGGACAGAGGTTGGACAGTGTCAAATATCAGATGCTCCCCCTTTCATTCCATTTACCAAAGTAACAATAAGGAAGAGATTCTGTTGGAGGCAAGGTTCCCATAGGTCACTCATAACTGAATAGAGATGATATCAGTGAGAAGCAAGGCTGGGACAAGAATGAGGGAAGTGGATTAAGATACAACAGGTAAAAGGTAACAAATGGAAAGGACATGTTTTTGAATTGTATTCTACATTTTATGGGCTAAATTATATACTTCCATGATATTCACCAATTAAGGGATTTTACTCTGTTTTGGAGATTTATCTTTCACAAATGTCCAAGTATCTTCTAAAAAAGACTTAGAGCAAAACAAATACAGAAATGACGCTTTTTTCTCTTTTCTTGCAAGGAAGATGGTAGAATTTGCAAGTTAGTTTGTATTTGGGGCTTTTAACACAATAAGTGCCATAGAAATTATGCTAATGATTTCTGATTTCTCAGATAATGGAGACAAATTTAATATAACTTTCCTGATGCTTAACTTCATACCTTTATATCAATATAGACGATTGATTATTCTGGAACTGTGTGCAAAATTTTGAGGGATAATACTCAATACTTAAGGCAAGATCTATATATATCTAGGCCCTAAAAGAAGGAATTACCAGAAGAAAAAAGGCAAAGTCATTTTTAAGCTGTGTTAAATAATGATGGCAATAGCAAAGAAATTTTTACAGTGTGGATTTATCTAAAAGGGCACATCCCAAATATTCAAGTTCATAAAAAAGTAAGCACAAACTCCATGTACTTAAGCAAATAACATGTGTACTTTATCACCCATAAATGCACATATATATAAAATTACAGAAAATGTTACACATTTTCTCCCTTTTGTAAAACTGCATGATTATTCTTTTCGCCAGGTGGTATTTTTGAATATGTGGAATCTGGCCCAATGGGAGCTGAGGAACTTGCGTTCAGATTTGCTGTGAACACAATCAACAGAAACAGAACGTTGTTGCCCAATACCACCCTAACTTATGACACCCAGAAGATAAACCTCTATGACAGTTTTGAAGCATCCAAGAAAGGTAATTGACAAATATTTAACATTGTATTTTCTGGAATTCAATTCTATAGGTATTCTTAAGAGATTTCTTAATTCCAAATATAATTAATAAGTCATTAGGAATATTTTCATGCAATGTTTCTTTCCAAACTGCACGTAAATTTTATCAAATAAGGTAAGGTGTTATGATTACCTATTATGACAAAATAATTTATAACATAAACTCAGGTCTATGATTGTTGTAAATTGTTCCCCCGCAATAATCCTTTTCTTACTAAACGATTCCTATTTTTAAGAACCCACTAAATAAAACTATACAGCAGTGGATTTTACCTAGTTTTGGAATCCATTATTACATTTTTTTTTTTTTAGAATTTTTTTTTTCAACGTTTTTATTTATTTTTGGGACAGAGAGAGCATGAGTGAGCGGGAGGGGCAGAGAGAGAGGAGACACAGAATGACCGGAGGCAGGCTCAGGCTCCTCGGACCTATCAGCCAGAGCCCGACGGGGGCTCAAACTCTGAACCCATGAGATGGTGACCTGGCTGAGAGTCAGGACTAGCCCAACATTTAGCCTGCCAAGCTCTTCATTATTACATTTTTATTGTGTTATCTGTCATTTCCAAGAAGTGCATTATCACTATTGTCTCAATTTACTGACTACCTTGAAAGTTCTGTAGTTCCAAGTTACTTCATAATGTCAGCCCAATCTTAAAACTTTATTGGAAAATTTTCAACAGCCTTTCATTTATGTGTACTTCATGCCCATTTTTAAAACTATTGGATGTTTCTTCTTATAACTGAAAATAAATGGCTAATGATATGAAAATTGAATTATAGGGGCACCTTGGTGGCTCAGTCGGTTGAGCGTCTGACTTGGGCTCAGGTCATGATCTCACAGCTCGTGAGTTTGAGCCCCGCGTCGGGCTCTGTGCTGACAGCTCAGAGCCTGGAGCCTGCTTCCGATTCTGTGTCTCCCTCTCTCTCTGCCCCAACCCACTGGCATTCTGTCTCTGTCTCTCTCAAAAATAAACATTAAAAATAAAGAAAATTAAAAAAAAATTGAATTATAGGAAGATATAATTAGAATACTTTATAAATTTTGTTATTTCTTTTATTTTGTTGTCAAACTGTTTTTTTAGTGATAAGAACAGAAAAATAACTTTGTGGAATATGAGTTTAACATTTAGAAAGTCAGGAAGGTAATAGTGAAACTATTATCAAGGCATTATTTTAACCAAACAATAACTTTGGTAGTAAATGTGTTTTGAGAGATGTTTCCATTGTCTTACTTGTCTAAGTGGGTGATATTTTGTTTTGCATAGTTAGCATTCATCTAATAGGAATTAAATTTCATAATATAGATTTTTCACAAAGGAATGGGATTATAAAGCATTTGTTCTAAATTTATATTTTTAAAAACAACATTACCTTTCTGTAATTCTAGTATTGTTTCATTAGCTACCTAACATTGAAAGAAATGTACATAATTATTTATAATTCTAAGTTGGTCCAGATTTCTTCTAATTTCATTAATATTAATGGCAACTGATAAGGTACAATATTCCTTGAGATGAAAGTATCTTTTTTATCCCCCAGCTAACTAGTGTTTATCAAAGCCTAAATTCTGCTTGCCCTTTGAATTCATATCTTTGAGAATACAAATAAGTTTCCACATTTCAGAACCATGTCAGGGTGATGAAAGGTTTTAAAGGCTGGAAAAAAAGGGTAAAGGTTATTGTGAAGTATTACATTTGTCATCATAATTGCAAAATAAGTCATTAACTGCAAGACAAGTGCGTTTGATTAGTGACATAGTTCAGGATTATTTCCATTAGGAAGAAGAAGCTCTGTCTCAAATGAAATCATTTAGACCAAAGAATATGGAATATGAGTGAAGTATAAAAAAATATCAATACATTTCTTAATGGTGAATTCAAAGGAGCAATGTAAAACAAAAACAGTCTAGTGTGTTCTGACAGCAAACAGGTTACTATCTTGGGAATTATGAGGTCCTCAACTCATTTGGTTTCAAAATACTAAAAAGCGTTTATGAAATTAAAATCCATTGGGAATCAAATTCATTAATTGACTTTGTCCGAAACTGGGGAAAACTCAAATAAGCATAATTAAGTAACTTTGTGATATGTTGAGAGGGTAAATGTCATGGTTTGGGTCTTACCTTCTGAAGCTCTTGCTTACTGAGCTATTACTGATTGGGAGGCATAGCAATATGTGAAAGGGTAATATGAGAGAGATCTGGTATAATATCTGAACCTATGGTAGCTCAGTAAATATATATAAATATAAAATTATATAATATATTAATATATAATATATTATAAAATAATTTTAAAAATTTGGACATTTAAATTTTTAAATTATTTTTCCAAAACAAGCAAATGATAAGAAATTAGATGTTTACATTTCAACATTTTCTCTGTTATATGCTCTTATACTTTTCATAAGTGATACTGTTTTGCTGAGCAAATAAATACATTGATGTATTAGATCTTGAATTATTATTTGAATCATACATCACTTTTAAGTGATTCCTCTGATAGCTGAAGACTATTTCATATTTGAAACACATTTCAGAACATTCTGTATAAACCACTATAATGTTTTCAACTTTTTTTCACCTGTGTTATGTCAAAAACCTGGTAAAGGAAGATCTTTTATTCTCAACGTATATGAATTAAAATCCAAGTTCGTGAAAAATGTCAGTTCCAACATGACTACTGATTCAGAATTCCAATCACTATTTAAAAAGTAAGAACCTACATATTCAAAAAATGTACTTAGATCGTACTGAATTTTTGAAGAAAATGTTTAAAAGTGAATTTTTTTAACTATAATTTATTTACTTACTAATATCGCTAAGCTTAAGAATCATTCCATCACATTGTGTTTTATGCAGTGAAATCTCTGAAGGAAATTTTGCTTCAGTAGAATTAAAATTCAATATAATTTTAAACTATTTTGGAGAGATTCAGTCTGAACACATAATTAATGCCTAAATCCCAATAATACTTCCCCTTAGTCCTGTTTAAATATTTGCAGGGATGGGTAAACCAATGCCTCTTGGAACAGATTTCCACTTTTTGACATTTATTACTTCCCTTTAATTTTTTTTAAATTAAAATATGTCAAAATTTGTGATGAACCTCTAACCATTTGCCCTATTCTTCCTTTTCTAATCAAATGAAACAAACTTAAGCCTCTTTCACAGGCCAGATCTACAAATATTTAAAGATGATTTTCATGTTTCCAATAGTTATTTACTTTCTAGGCCCAAACTCCCTAGTTGCTTTGAGGGACCTTATAGAATTTGAAGTCCTATCATAGTCTATTCTAATCTGAATAGCTTCTAGGTTGTTTATGCCTTTCTTAATTACTGTATTTATTATTGACGTGAATAAAATTTTCTGTGAGTGAATACAAACCTCAAAAATTAATTTAGAACAATATAAAAGACTTACAGTATACAAAAGTCAAGTAAAAAAATGATTAAGTATTTATCTAATAATTTTCTCGAGGAGATTAAGTTATATGAAATCATCCTTGATAAGCCATATCAGGTTTTTTTTTTTTAATTTTTTTTTCAACGTTTTATTTATTTTTTTGGGGACAGAGAGAGACAGAGCATGAACGGGGGAGGGGCAGAGAGAGAGGGAGACACAGAATCGGAAACAGGCTCCAGGATCTGAGCCATCAGCCCAGAGCCTGACGCGGGGCTCAAACCCACGGACTGCGAGATCGTGACCTGGGTGAAGTCGGACGCTTAACCGACTGCGCCACCCAGGCGCCCCCATATCAGGTTTTAAAGGGATATCTGTAATGCCTAGCTTGATCTGTATCATCAGATATGTGCAAATACTTAGCTCTGTGTTGCCCTAGCTTCTCAGATGGGGAGGAACAACCAAATGGCTCTGATTAAGAATTTAAAATGGTGGAGGATGGTCAGTGAATTTGGGAAGGAACACTATTTCCCCAACTTCCTGATATAAACTATTTTTGCAGGGTGAACACTTCCCTTCCTTCTTAAATTCTAGAATATTCTTCCTCTTTCCCCCTTTTGGCATTATTTGTAGAATCATTTGAACATTGAGTTGCAGATGCCTGGAAGATTTCCCTTCTGACAAACTGAACATGTTTGCAGTCAGAAAAAAATATGAAAATTAGCTAAATGGAGATGTTATTTATAAGGAAAACAAAATCTTTCTTCAGGATAAACCTTCAGGTTCACAACACTAATGTGATAATGTTGGCACACTGGCATCTCTCCTTGTTATTGACAGACTTCTCTCTCTCCTCAGCCTGTGATCAGCTCTCTCTTGGGGTGGCTGCCATCTTCGGGCCTTCACACAGCTCATCAGCAAATGCTGTGCAGTCCATCTGCAATGCCCTGGGGGTTCCCCACATACAGACCCGCTGGAAGCACCAGGTGTCAGACAACAAAGATTCCTTCTATGTCAGTCTTTACCCAGACTTCTCTTCACTCAGCCGCGCCATTTTGGACTTGGTGCAATTCTTCAAGTGGAAAACTGTCACAGTTGTATATGATGACAGCACTGGTAAGAAAAATCAGTAGCCTTCAGGGCTATGCTTTAAATACACATAATATTCTGAAACTTATTTAAAATTCTTACTATATTCCTGTTTTGATTTTTAATTAAGGAAAGAGTTGGAAAGACATTTGGAATCAAATGTCCACACATCCAAAGAACAGTTAAATCACATACTTTCTCTCTGTATTTTTAAAATAAGCACTTTTTTTTTCCGTGGGGGGACCAGGTAGCATGAACTATAATATTGGATGAAGGAAAAAGATAGTGTGGAAATTAATATTGAAATACTTATTGAAAGTATTCTTCTGCCAGGTTCAGGATAGTTTTCCAAAGTAAAGTTTTATGACTGGCTATTAATGAAACTTATCAAGAAATTCAGGATTTTGCCTTAACATTTTCTCTAGCTGTTATGTGCAAAAACTGTGTATGAAAGGTAGTAGCTTTATATCTGTGTAGCATGTTAAAGTTTAAAACTTTTTTTCTCATATTTGAAACAATATTATAACCACTGAAATACTCAGAGTGTTTGGACTTATTTATGTGTAGACATACTTTAGGGACTTGGATAATATAATTTACTAAGTGGTATTTATTTCAGTGTCTTCTATGAATATTTTAATGAATGTTTGCTGCTAGAAGTTGTCTGTGCTTTCCTGTTTTAATGTATGTTATTATTTTTATATATGAGTAGTTGTTTTAAAGTAGCAATTAAAAATACATCTCATTGGGGCACCTGGGTGGCGCAGTCGGTTAAGCGTCCGACTTCAGCCAGGTCACGATCTCGTGGTCCGTGGGTTCGAGCCCCGCGTCAGGCTCTGGGCTGATGGCTCAGAGCCTGGAGCCTGTTTCCAATTCTGTGTCTCCCTCTCTCTCTGCCCCTCCCCCGTTCATGCTCTGTCTCTCTCTGTCCCAAAAATAAATAAACGTTGAAAAAAAAATAAAAAAATAAATAAAAAAATAAAAATACATCTCAAAGGTAAATATATGAAAGTAAACATTGAAAATAAAGTCTTTATTTTCCTTAGCAGTTATATTAGTAGTTCATACTATTTTGGTTATTATTTAGTGATAAGAGTTTTACATACGTTAAGATGCTTATCAATGGTGTAAATAATGATCCTTAAAGTAGACCATAAAAATAATGTTGTATTCTGAGACATTTCATTATACCTTTATGCTTACACAAAAATTGGAATTCGTTTGAATTTTAATTTCCAAAGTACTCCAGCAGCATACTGTGTTCATGCATGCAATATTTAGAACTATATGCACGAACCCATCCCTTTGCCAATAGAATGGACCGTCTACAAATAGATGTCAGAGCTCTCCCAGGAGAACAGGGAACAGAAAACCATAGGGTTGAGAAAACAATGAAAGTGCTTTGAAAAACATTTGCATTAGCCTAAGAAAGAGCGAGTCTCAATACACATCAATAGAGTAATTTCATTTTTCTGCTTTTAAAAAGTGAAATGTTTATACATAGTTTTAACTTAGAAATACCTCAACAAAGACCTTCAAAAAATAACTTAGTAAGTACCTTTGGTGTGTCTTTTAACTCAAATTAGACTTATTAAGTTTGTTGTCTGATGTTTTACTCCCAAATCATTACTTTTCTGTCATTGGTAAAGTTCGATATATCATGTTATAAATGGTAGATTCTATGTGAATGGTTTTTCTGAGTTGTATAATGTGATGGTACAGGGCATCCTCAGTTACAAATTTGTCCACATATGTTTATGAATTTTTGTATACAGGCATATATAAATATGAGTACACATGCATTATGAATCCATGGATTATTTACTTCTCCATTCCCTCTGATATAATTCAAGTGAATGATGTGCAAATATCATGTACCTTCAGAGATGCATGCACACACACGGTATATACACACACATATACAGATGCATATAGGTGTATGTTATGCATGTGATTTTTGCATTTATGTCTTATTCTCTTAAAACTCCTAAGGGTGTAAAGGATATTAGAAAGTTCAAAATGCTTATGGACATAACACCTTCTTCACTATTCTGCTTGTATGTATATGTGTGTATCGTAACATTTTTATTCCACGTATGTAGTTCTTGAGTGATTCACTAAAAAGATAATGGGATTTGTGATCAAGATCAAACAACAATTTGATAAAGTAAAGCTTCATATGTAATTGATCTTTTGGTTTAAATAATATTCTAAACATTTATATCATTGAAGCAAATTTAAATAGGGAAATAAATGTAATTAGTTAATTCAGTGTACATACCTTTAATGGAGACTTGATCTCAGATTATATGTATTAAAATAATTGTTACTATTTAAAAGAAGCTTTGGCATACTCCTCACTTGAAAGTGAAATAGATACTTGGAGATTCTAAAATCTGATTATTTAAATATTAATACTCAGTCACTACAGAATTATTTGTAGAGTATTAAAATATTCTGAGAAGAATAAAAGCTTATAATTCCTCTATTTTGCAATATTCAATTTTAAAAATATTGATCAGTCACCTACTACATGCCAAGAACCATTGCAAGTGTGTTTATGCCAATAAAAGAAAAAAAAGTCCTGGCCCTGATTGAGCTTCTAGTTCCTACTTAGGGATATGTGATTGTCCATGTTTCTACCATATTTTTAATGAGCTAATTACATTTTCAACTGGACACTTGTAGTCCCTTTTAATTTAACACTTTCGAGAATGTGACTGTGTTTGATATTTTTATAGGACAGAACTGACTCTAAGATTCCTATTGAAATGTATTCATAAATACATGGAAATAGATTTTTTTTTTGTCTTTGCAGGTATGTTTAAAAGTCTCAAGGTGGTATTTTAATGACATAATTCAGTAGAGAGGATTTGTAAACTGCCCAAGTGAACAAGATGTCTATTTGATCATGTGCCATGCAATCTGATTATAGCAAGGACTGTGAACTGAAATGGGAAAAAATCCACCTCATACTCAGCAAGATAAACATTATTGACTCCATTATGGATTTATGTATCTGCTGTTTACTGCAGGACACATTGTGCCATTTTATTTACATTTCCTTTTTCCCTTTCCAGATTTATTTATTATGTATGCTAGTCCTCCCATTTATATTCATTTCTATTTTGTTGTGTTGTCCAGTTTGATACATGATAATTATACTTCCATCCAGTCTTTGTTCCCACCCCCAAAACAGATGGGATGATAGATGAAATATAGTGCTGGAGTAGGAGAAATTCTTAGAATGATGTTAACAGGAGCTGTTTTATTTTTTATGATAATTAGCATTTGTTGTTGTCGTGGATGAATGCTTTTAAACACCCTGAAAGTCTGTTATAGCTCTGAATGATGTCCAAAAATGATGGAGAAGAATTGGCTTCAGAAACAAAGCTGTGTTTCTGTCAGTCATTTTGGAACATATGATTCACTTTAAATATAAACTAAAAATAAGTTGGATAGCTGTCAGCTCGTAAGCAATTCCAGGATAAGTTCTGAATATTTGCTTTAAAATCCCTGTGTTTCATCTTTGTTTATAGACCAGCAGTCCATTAACAAAGAACTCTGGACTGGTAAACAGAAGCCTGGGATTCTATTCCCAGTTTTGCTACTAAATGACTGGTACAACTTTGGAAATTAGGAGAATAGAAGGAAAATAACTACAGAAAGGAGCTATAATGCACTAGGCATTGTTGTAGTTGCTGTTATATAAACTATTCCACTTAATTGTCAAAACATCTCTATGAGTCCCAAAGGAAATAGGTTATCATCCACCATCCCTGCTTCCTTCAGTGAGTGACTGACTGGCTCTTCTGCCTACCAGCAGCCCTTAAACTTCTTTCAGGTTGCCCAAACTACTGTTCTGTTCACCTGGAAAGCTCTCATTCTGGTCCCCACTCCTCCAATCCACTAAATGCACACACATGTGCATGTGTGCATTTGCACATACATGTTCATATATACCATTCATATGTACCATCTGGCTTAGATGTTACAAAGAAAATCTACCCCAACCCTGGGTCCCAAGGCTGGAATACGTTTCCTCCAACACATCTCAGCCCTTGGTTATCCCTTGACCCTCACCCATGGGAGCTATAATCACATTATGAATGACATTTCTTGACTGTATTTTCTACTGGATCAAATACATGTCTGAGCAGAATGAGCCCTAAGGCTACTAACTACTCTGTCATTAGCACCTAGGTATTACCTGGATCATGGATATACCTTAATAAGTATTTAAGGAATGAATGCTTAAAGAGGTGTTATTATATCTGTTGCTTAGACAATGAATCTCAAATGGATTAAGTAATCTGCCCAAGGTCAGTTTAGGTTAGGTCACTTTTTAGTACTTGTATTGAATAAATAGATTCAACATTTTTCAGGAATCATATATAGATATGATTTCTTCTATCATTTAAAAACTTGTATAAGAAAGCTAGCATGAACTGTACTTGTATTCTATTTTGACTGCAATTAAATGTATATTTATTCATTTAATTTTTTGAATAGTCATTATTTAGTGAGTGAGTGGTCATGGATATTGATATAGATAAGGGGAGGATTTAAAGGAGAGAATATAAATTATTTTAATTAATGAAAAGAATTAGTCATTTTTAAAGGTATTATAATATTTAACAGGCTGATCTTTGGTTACTTTCTATGATATCAATAGAGAAAAAAAGGCCATAGCCTTTATCCTAAGGACCATAAATGCTTTCTTTACTAACTTTATTAACTTGGATGTAGTATATGTATAGACTATGTTCTAGATACATCTTTGTGTGCTTTTGGAGTTAGTTTAATAATATATAAGATCACTTAATAGTAAAAATTTATTTTATCTTGGACCTATATTTAAATAGGATAAAATAAAATTATTCAAGAGAATAAGTTAATATGAAAATATATATTCCTGGAAGACACTAATTTTCAGTATTATAACAATTTCTGTATTATAAAACTTATAACCAAATAATTTCAATTTTATTTCAGGAAGTGGGGTAATTTGGATCTAAGATGATTAT